CAGTGTGGTGTACTGAAACCAAACTCACTGCCATTTAGTCAATGCAGACCCATAATGACTGTACAGGACAGGGTAGAACTGCTCCCGTGGGTCTGTGAGAATGTAACTCTTTACAGGAATGGAAAGCCCAGTCTTTCTCCCACTATTATCACAGTCTCTATTTCCCTCTTCAAATCCGTAAGCATTTGATTCATGTATTTTGAAAATCTTTAGTTGAGGACATAGATAATTATTATGGTTATGTGTTCTGTTCATTTGACCCTTTCATCATTATGTAATGATCTTTGTCTCTGATGGTGGATTTTGCCTCTAAATCTATTCTTTCTAAAGTTAGTAATGCCACTCCCACTTTAAAAATAATTGCTATTAGCTGGAAATAATTTTGAGTTTTAGTCTGTTTTTGCCTTTGTGTCTAAGGTGTGTTAGAACGGGTTGATAAGAGAAAAAATCCAGACACTCATATATATGTGTGAGAGCACTTTATATCAAAGAGTAATTGTACATTAAGAAAACAGTCTAGTCCAGTTCAAATCCAAAGTCTGATATTAGCCCATATATCCAATACTAGTTGATAAATTCCACTTCAGACTCATGCAGCACATCCAATGACGCTGAATGCAGGAAGATCAGCAGCTGGTAAGTGGAAAGTCCTGTTCATTCCGTGGCAGTGGAAGCATCTCCAGGGCTCTGACTGCATTCAGCTTGGCTCCATGTGGCTTCTCAACAGGAAGATGTAGCAGTGTGTGTGTTCCGCCTCCAGGGAGAAAGGAAACTCCCAGAATGCTAATGAAAAGGCCACACCCACAAGCAGGCATCAATCATGCTGTGACCTTATTCCCAGGCTGGACTCCACCCTTATAACCTATTTTTCAAGTTGACATGAAATTGTAACTACCACAGGCGTGTTTCTAGTAAGCAGCACATTAATGGGTCCTGTTTGTTTAACCATTCTGTTACGCTCTGTCTTTTGATTGGTGCATTTGAATTCTGAGTTATTGACATTAAGTATAGAACAGTCTATTCACCCTAGAAATCTACATGACTTCCTTTCTGTTCAAATGTTTTATATTTACATTACTTCCTCTATTTCTTAATTGTCTTCATTGTGATTGATATCTGACTCTTTATTGTCAGTCTTCTAAGTTTGCTAAGATGATTGGGTTGGCTTCTGGGTAGTGTTCTCTTGTGTGTTGATCTCAGGTTAATGCCAGCGTTTGTTGATCCAAAGAACTCTCCTTAGTAACTTTTGTAAGATTTGCCTTGTTTATACTAATTCATTAAATTTCTCCCTGGCTGGAAATTCCCCTATTTCTGATGGATAATTTTGCAGCATAAAAGCTTCTTGATTGGCAATTTTTTTTCTTTCATAGTTTTACATGTCATCCCATTGCCTCCTTGATTGAGTGGTTTCTGCTGGAAAACCAAGTTTAGTGTTACTATTTTCCCTTTGTAGGTAACTCTTTGTTTTCCCTGAACTGCTGAGAATTCTTACCTAGCCTGTGATTTTGGAAAGTGTGATATGTTGTGCCACGAAAGTTTCCTTTGGGATTTCTTGTGTTTGGGCTTCTTTCAGCTTCTTAAATCACTCACTGCTATTAAGTGGATGTGTTAGGTAGCATAGGGACTGGGGCGTCTATTACGCATGCTCAGAGGTTCGAGCTTCTGGCCAGGAAGGGGTGGTACACCTAGGTGGGTGTTACACCTAGATTGGCCCACCTAGGCCAGGTAAATTCAGTTCAGCCAATGGGGTCGACCAGTATTGCCCACCATGCCTCCCAACAGGGCCCCTGAAAAGCCAGAGGTTTTGCTCTGGGCTGTCTTTCCCAGCGGCTGCCACACGATGTAGCACAGCCGGGTTGCGGTCCCGAAACCGTGCGCTGCGGACTCTGTCTGGCTTGAGTTCCATTTACTGTAGAACCTGAAACTGCTCCTATTCTCTATAAACCCACTGGATTACAAACCAGGCTTCGGTATGAATTTTTTATCGCCTGGAGCCAAGGACCAAGGTCTACCACTCCTCTGGTAGATCTGACAGATGCTGACTTTTTTAGTGACAGTATAAGATATGGTAGAACGGCTCCTGTGAATGTCCGAGACTATAACTCTTTACAGGAGTAGAAAGCTTCAGTAGCAGCCCAACTAGATGTTTATTTTTCCCTTTTTCCTGATGGTGGGGAAATTATCTTCCAGCAGGTCTTGGGCAATTTTGTGTGTGTTTTTAATCCGTTTGTTTCTCCTGTTCTGGAATTTCTATCATACTTATATAATTCCTCTCAGAAGTGTCCCACTTAATTCTTAGGCTTTCTTCAGATTTAAAAAAAAGTATGGATTATTCCACTTATAGTTGTTGACAGATTGTCTTCAAGCTCACTAATTTTTGACTTAACATTTAGTCAATTCTGCTTTGTTCTTTCAATGTGTTGTTTATTTCTAACACCTTAATATTTATCTTCTGGATTTCTATTCGGTATCTGTTGTTTTTTAATTTTAACATTTAAATATAATTCATGTATCACACTCTTCAGTGGTTTAAACATACTAAGAAGAGGTGCATCTATTTGCTGGTTTGTATGGCTTCTAATTTTTATTTTGTCAGATATCCTGTTTCCGTGAGTTCTCATAGTTTTTTCTTCTATTTTTTCTGTAGTGCTCTCAATCTTTTTTTCTCAATCTGTTGAACCAGAGCTTAAGAATCATTCTTCTTAATTCATTTTCTGGTCGTTCCAGTGCCTTTACTTCCTCGGGGGTCTTTGGGTTCCACATATTGGTCACTTGTTTGTGCGATTCTGTCTTGTTTCTTTGTATGAACTCTAATTTTCTCTGTGAGACATTGGGATGGTTTTAAATGCTTTCCTTGTTGATCAGATGGTGCTGGAGTGAGTGGTCCGTGTC